TAGGCTTAATCCACCTGGGTACAACCCTTGGTGTAGCCTTTCCTCCCTGCATTTAAGCAGGGAAAAAAGCAACAAAAAGCTGTGTTCCCTTCTTGCAGCAGCATGTTTGCACAAAATGAGTGGGAAATACGTTGTTTGGAGACCAGGTCTGATTGAGGTTGGCCAATTAAGCTCAAAAAGTGATGGAGGGAGCTAAGAGTGAGACAGCTCTCTCCAGGAGGTGGGAGAGAAAAAAGGAGTGAGGAAAAAACCAAATATTTCGCTGGCTTTCATGGAAGCAGTGTTTAATGTCTTGTGTACTACAGGCATGGCCAGGGAGCAGCTGATGCTGTTAATAAAACTCATGTTGTAGGGAGCAGCTTTCCCAGGAGCAGCTGAAGCTGTCCCAGATAAAACAGAAAAATCGACTAGATTCAGTGTTTGCCTCCCCAGGGATCTGTGTGAGCTGTGGGATGCTCTAGCCTGGGCTCCTTGTAAGCTTTCTCCTAAATAAATCCCCTTTCATCTACATGCAACAGCTGCCCCTTTTGCCCAGCTTTCAGGTAGTCCAAAGGCTTCAGCTTTGTGCATGAAAGATTTTCCCCTGACTGCAGGATTTGGGGATGAGCAGCTCTTACCATCCCTTTAATTTCACTTTTTTTATAGGGGAGTTTGCAGTGTTACAGCTCCCATTTGCTGTAGGAAATATTCAGGTGGGCTTGTGCCCTTACTTTGCCTGGCAGCAAACATTGCAGCTCAGCATCCTTGGGGCTGGGTTCTTCCGTCAGGTCTATTTTATTGAATCTGGTGATTTTGAGTCACAGCTGGAGCTGCCTTTGAGAGCCATATCCCAGTGTGAACAGGGCAGCTTGAATGAGGCTTGATTCCTGCTATGCCTGCAACAGCTTCGTCCTGGGAGGCAGCACAAGTGAATGGCTAACGAGGCTCTGTTTGTTTAGCATCTCCTCTGCACCCGTGTGCCCTTCCCCCTGCCAAATTCATGCTCCTTTTGATGGACCAATAAGCCATCCCTCAGCCTGGCTGCATCCACAGGGGATGGTGGACCATGAGCAAAGCTGCAAGCCAGCATCTCTCCCTGCCCAGGGATGTGGATCAGCATCACCCCTCGGAAGTGCAGTGGCCCTCGGGTGATGCTCATCCTCACCTCCAGTGGGTGAAGGTCCTTCTCACCTGCAATCTCGTTCTCTTCCAGGTCGATGGTCTCCAGGGCAGCGACAGCAGCCAGGGGTTCAGGGAAGTGCCGAAATCTGTTGCGGGAAAGGTTGATGGCTCGGAGGTGCAGCAGGGAGGTGACCTCCTCAGGCAAGCGGTGCAGGTAGTTGCCTGCCAGGTTGAGCTCTGTGGTTCAGGGAAGAGAGGAGTGGGATGGTGGCATGGGTGGGGGAAAGATGGGAAAATAATTAATGTATAGCTTAATTTACAGCCTTTGTTCCCCATGGGCTGACAGGTCCAGCAATGGGATTCCAACTCCAAAAATGGGATTTTTTTTGCTCATCTCCATGGTTTGCCAATGTACTTTTGCCTACTCTGAATACTGCTTTTAGGAGCGATACGTTTCTTGGCTTCCTCAGGCTTTCCTAATGAAACCCATGCAGCATTTTGCAAGCAGGGGTTGTAGAAATAAGCAATATTTTTAGTGAAGTCAGCGCAATTCCCCCCCCTACCCCCCCCCCCCGTGGACATTTGTCATGTCTTAAGGCTAGTTTTCTGTCTTCATGTGCCTAAACCCCTTTTGAGGTATAAGCAGAGTGGTGGAAGAAATGTATTTATATACAAAAAATATCTATTCTACAGAGTTTAACCCTCTGTGATGCTTTTTCTTGCCCAGAAATGAGCTCCTGTGGGGTCAGGAGCAGCACTCCTGCATGAAAGGCTGTTAGCCATGGGAACAGGAACCCAAATCCCACTGTCCCAGCACCCTTCTCCTGTGACACAGGGCTTTCTGCTCTATAAATACCCGTGCAAGCTGCCCTGCCCCTGCTAATACCTGGTATTTATAGGTCCTGCCTTATTCAGGCTGGTGCAAGGCTATCCCCAGCCCCGGGGCCTCTCTCCCGTGCTGAGGCCCAGCATGTTCATCACCTGAGTGTTTTGTTCACTGGTGGAGCAAAGCCCTTGCTGGGAAACGAGACCTTTTTTCTCCCTCAGAGCTCACAGTGCTGTCTAGAGAATGAAAATGGATTTCTTTTGCTCGATGTATTTCTTTTCTCCAGCCTAGGGGAGTTTTCATGGATGATGATCCAGCACAACACGGGAAGCCTCCCTGAACACCCACCACGGCGACACTCATGCAATACATCGTATGAGCAAAATATTTGGTTTTAAAACTGCCAGAGCCCTGGGTGCTGCTGCTGGCAGGCAAAGTCCCCGTGCAGTCCCCAGCATTCAAAACCATGGTGCTGGTTGCTCTGGGTGCTTGTGTGACCATATTTTAGTAGATTAGATTCTGGCTGCTTTTGCTGGACTCCGCAGGGATGTGTCCCCATGGCACCAGCCATGCACTGATGACTGTCCCCATCTCCTGCTGAGAGTGGAGAGTGAGCAGCTACCACTGATGTCTCATGATGAGGGCAAATTAGCCAGCAGCAAGCCAGCATGCCTTCTGCAGCCTGAAATGCCCCATCTCTGCCATGCACCATTATGCCCAGGCTGCCTTTCCTGTCCTCTTTCATCCACAGCCCCAGCCTTGGATGGAGCTGGGGGATGGTGAGTGACCCTGCAGCAGCCTGGCCACTGCTGAAAGTGGCTGGAAGGTGGCAGAGCAGGAGTTTGGGAGGGTGGGTGAGAGCAAAACCAGTGCCCTTTTCCTGCAAGAGCTGGAAAGGGTAAAGAAAAATGGATTTTTTAGGGGGTCTGAACATAATGCTTGGAATGAGATGTGAGCACAGAGGAGCAAAAACTGCAGTGGAGAAACTCTTTGGTGCTGTGCCCCATCTGCAGCAAACTGGGGGCTTTTTTCTGGGTCCTGGAGGTTTTGAAGTGGCTGTTGCAAAGCAGTAGGGCTGTGCCTTACCTCTCAGCTGGCTGAAGGTGGTGACAAATCGGCTGGTGAGGGACTTCAGCTCGTTGTTTGCTAGGGAGATGTGGTGGATCCCCTCAGTGACGCTCCTCATAGCTTTGTAGATGCCAACAGGGAAGGTCATCAGTTTGCAGTTGGCCAGATCTGCACCAGGAGAGATCCAGGCACCTTATAATGTGCCCCACTGCAATGGAGCAATGCTTGCTTCCTTGTTTTCCACCCCTTAATGCTTGATTTGCCCACCTGGGTGCTGCCACCCATGGATGCCATAATGTCCACTGCCATACTCCTCTCCATTGCAGGGATCTTTGCAGTCACCTCCACAAGCACCGGTAGTTTGTTCCCTTCAGCAATACTAAGGCTGTTCTGCCTTAGCCTGTCCAAACCTAAATCACATTGAAAACACTTCCGTGCTTCAGTGTCCTTTTGGAAACCCTCAGCGAGCCTGTCAGTGTCTCAGAACTTCATGACTTCACTAATCCCCTTCCCTTATGTCCCTAACCCCCTGGGGATGATTGAGCAGTGCAGGGATGCCTTCTCCACCCCTGACCGGGATGGAGATGGAGCAGGGTTTTCCCTTGGCATGCTTCCTGCCTGGATTTCTCATGGTGATGGGTGCTAGCCCCATGGCAAGCAGTGGGGAGCGGAAAATGATTTGGCTGTGCTTCTCATCTGATGACAGTTTGTTTTGCTCTGGTTTGTTTCTGTTTCCCCTCCTGGGGGGGAAACCCTCTATCCCGGCCCCACGTTGCTCAGCCTAAGCTCTGCTGCCTGCCCTCTCCCCAAAGCCATGGCAGGGGCTGCACAAGCTCAATCCTCTCCTGCTTCTCATCTTGCTCAGGAGGATGTTGAGAGGCTGAGCGATGAAGCTCTGAATCTCAGCGTATGCTGGTTTATATCCCAGGGATGGGAAGCCAGCATGAATAAAAATGAGCAGCTTTCCTCTCTCTCATTTGATGAACTGCACGCAGGTCTCAAGTATTAGCTAGGAATGGAGAAATTGCAGAAAAACACAAATCTGATGAGGCCATGCAAGGAGAGGTCTGTTTCCTGCTGTCACTTACAAGGAAAGACTTTGTCTCTGGAGCACGTCCTGTGGGGTTATGTGCTATCACTGGGAACCCACTCAAACTTTGTGGGGGCTGAGAGCCTTTCCCAGGGTT